TGAATAATAATTAACTCATAAATTGGTAATAGTAATTAATCATTAGTAATTATTTTATTTTATAAATTCCATTTTAGAATTTATAGTTACAAAAGTTATTGGTCTGTTGCAAGCAATTAATTATTAGCGTAAATTGTAAAATTAGTAGCAGTTTGCTGAAAACTCACTCACAAATTCACTGAAGCCATTAGAAAAATGCTGAGAGACAGAGAGGCACCTTCAGGCCTCAGGGCACGCCACTACCAGAGTTTCTCAAACTTTTCGGCTTTCTCAGTCTCCAAAAGAACTAGTTGGTGAACTGAGCCTGCTGTGGATTTGACATTCGGCAAGGTGCTTTCTGGCTTGTTGCTGGGCTAGAGGAAAGACTTGCAGAAACCTCGGTGAGGATGCTTGGAAACTGGTGACGCCCAGTGGGTTTCTGAGCTACAGTGACAGCCCCATCCAAGCACCTGTCACCCACCACCACCATCCAAACAGCAGGGGATGAATTCAGAAAGAGCAGAGGGCTCTATCTTGCCCAGAGCAACTGAAAATGTGCACCTGTTCCAGAAGAATTGTAATTAATGGCTGACTAGATAAGTAGTGGATTATGAAGGAAAACCAGGGAAGTTCCAAGGGTATCTCTGGTCTGTCAGAATGCAAACACCGGACTCTCCCTTGCACCCTCCCCTCCGAGCTGTGGTCAAAATTCTGGGATAGTAGCCTTTGGTTTGATCTGTGGTGACATTTCTGGTCTTCTTAAGAATATTGCAGTAGAAAGGGTCTTGCTGGAACACTCAAAAGTGCAGGTGAGCTGTTTCCAGGGGCAGAGAACACAGCCCGGCTGTCACACCAAGTGCACTGCCTGCCACCCACCAAGTCCAGACTTCTGGTCATGGTAAAGGGGCTAATGCCCCCAGTGGTAGTGATAGCCACACTGATTTCCTTGGATTCATTAGATAGAGACAATTTTATCAAAGTGGTCAATTTCCAGATGAGCCATCCAGAAAAGTACCCATGTCCCCTAGCATGGGGATGTTTCCAGAATTCTGGCTTTGGCCAATCCCCTTCAGCCTACATAGTGAATGTTGAAATTTTTAAAAATATATTACATATATATATATATATATATATATATATATATGTTACAGTACCAGGAATACCGTCATTAATTCAGTACCAGGAGTACCGTCATTAATTCCTTTCAAAATACTCCCCCACACTTCAAACACACCTATCCCATTGCTCTTGCTGCTTTCTGAAGCCGTCCTCAAAGTCCATTTTCCTAAGTATCCTTCGGTGCACTGTTGTGGCTGCCGTGATGTCTGGAATCAATCAAAAAAGTTTACCTTTGATCATTTTAACTTTGAGGAAAAGCCAGAAGTCACATGGTGTCAGATCTGGCGAAGGAAGGCACATCTTGACAGAAATTGTTATAAAAGCTTTTGGATCAATTCAGGGTATCAAGGCAGCCATGACAACAGCACAGCTAAAGATAGTCATGAAAGAAAACTTCCAAAACTGCTTCAGAAAGTTGCAAGAATGATGGGACAAGTGTATGTGACGCAGGGGGAATATTTTGAGGGGGATTCATAGCGATGTGTCTCTTATTGCAATACTTTTAAAATCTTTAATGTTCGCGGCATTTGTTGCTCACATCGTACTTGTAGCATTGGAGAGCGTCCAAGGCCAGAGGCTCTGTCAGTCAGCACAGCCTCCCCAGCAGAAGGACCGGTGCAGGCTCGAAGGGCAGGGGTCCTCGAGACCTTCCTCCGGTCCCTGCCCCCCCCTCCATCCGGCCTTTCTTTTTGCTGTGTGGCTCTGAAGGCCTCTCTTCCTGTGGACGCAACAACCCTGTGGGACTTCCTGGGTACGTGCTGTTGGGTGGGAAGGCACCTTAGGGAGAGGTGGGGCCGCCCCTTTGCTTCTAGCTCTTTCTGGGGCAAAGCCCACAGCCTGCTGTCAGTAAATCCTCCCAGGGTTTCAGAGACCCTAGCACTGCCGGGTAAGCGAGGGGCTTTTGGATCTCTCGCTTTCCTGTCCATTATAGTCACCCTTCTGAACCAAGGGCCTGATTCAGCGCAGGGGAAACTCCAAGCTTCAAGGCTGGGCTGGTGCAATACAGGGCAGATTGCGGACAGGAAGTGGTGCAGAGCTGTGGGTGAGAGAGGAGGGCTTCCTCCTGCCCTGACACTTTCTATGTTAAGGGACCTTTTACAGTGGGCCCCTCCCCCTGACCAGGAGACAGACAGGCAGGCAGACAGACACTCTGAGGCTTCAGCCAAAAGCCTGGCAAGCAGCTGTGACTCAAAGCCAGGCAAATCCAACCCTCAGCCCTCAGTGACTTTGCGTCCTTTGTCCCTTCTGGCAAAATATAATTGTCTCTGGGGGTTGTATAGACTTTTTACCTTTTCAGAGTAGAGGCACCTCAGTGAGCATCTGTTTTTCAGAACTCCTGTCCCATCCCCAGGGACCTTGAAGGGCCCTTGACACACACACACACACACACACACACACACACGCATCCGGGGCTACCTCAGTTTGCGTTCTCTACCTCCCATGTACTGCTTTCTGTCAGAAGTGGATGGATTTGCTGAAGCTCAGGCTCAAGTTAAATGAAAGCACAACAGCCAGCTAATTTGAATAGGTTTGGCTCTGGAGACAGAACTATGTTAGGCAAGCACTCTACCAAGGTGCATCCTCAGCCCGTCTTTAAAACATTAAGGTTTCAATCAATTGCCCAGGCTGGGCTCAAAATGGCAAGACTCTATCCTCTGCTTCCAGAGTAGTTGGGCTTTGGGGTGTGTGCTATCAAGCTTTGCTTTGAATAAAGGTCTTGATAACAGATAAAGCACTTCCCATATCAGAGCCGACTGAGCAGACCTGAGGAATACTGAGGAGCTAGCAGACAGGGCTTGTAGATTATCCGTGAGGAGTAAGTAGGCCTCTGACCAGCTGAGTGATGCACCCTGTATTAAATAGGGAGGAACAGACACATGGTTCAAGGTAAGACAATGAGGTCAGGAGCAGAGCACTGAACTCGCTGAGCAGATACACTGCGAGAGCCTCTCCAAGAGACTCCTGGACTTACAGGGCTGGCCTCAGGAGGGAGAACTGGGCCCTGGCTCTGTGTGTGTGTGTGTGCGCGTGTGCGTGCGTGTGTGTGTGTGTGTGTGTGTATGGAGAAGTGAGTACCAGGTAGGGATGGCGACTGAGGCTGCAAGGAGAGGTCCCCTTTGTGCTGCCAAGACACAGGAGGTAGACAAGACCCATCCAAGCCAGTGCCTTAGGCTGTTAGGAGATAAGCCCAAGATGTGCCCATTAGATTGAGCAGATTACTGGCAACCTCCAAGTGGTCTGTTCCCAGAAAGGGCGGGAGTGAAGCCTCGATCTTAGGCCAGACTGCCAGTCACCAAACCCAGTCCCTGTCCCAGGGACGAAGGTGGAAGCCTAAGTTCTGGCCAGTGGCCTGGGGGTGGGGTTCTGTCACCACCAGGGCATAGCCATCACTCCTGCATGCTCTGAACTTTCCTCCCTCGCCCGCCAAGCTAGAGGACCTGGAGAGGCTCCAAGGCCTCGATGGCATGGAGCAAAGAGAAGAAGTTGGCCGCAGGATGATGATGTGGAGCCAGGGGAGTGAAGCTGGTCAGGGATGAAGGAAAATCAGACCCACAGGGCCAGCAGGTGGGGATCTGGGGTTGGCTGTGCAGTGTGGCAGGAGTGGCGCAGCAGAACAGCAGTGACAGTAGGATCAGAGGACAGCAGCAAGGCCAGACAGCTGGAATTTAGAAGTCAGGTGGGCTAGAGAGGTCTATGAACCATCTGAAGGATGGAGCTAAGAGCCAGAGTCTCCTGTGTGGCCAGCAAGTGCCGGAGCAGAAAGAGCAGCAGCCTAACACTTGCACACACAAGGCCTCACTGCGCATCACGACCACACAGGCCCCAGCACCTCTGAGCTCTTTCTCCCAGGTGCATCTGACTAGCCTCATGCTGGGCAAAGCACACTCTGCAGCTAGACTTCTGCTGAGCAGAACCCTGCCCAGACGCATGCATCTCTGTGTTTCGTGACTTCTGCCTGATTCAAAATTAGACCAGCTGGGGTCTGCAGTGACCTTGAGCAGGTCCCTTGCCTTCATCTGCAAAGTGCGGGGATACGCTCAGTAACTGTCAGCAGAGTCCTGAAGCAGCCACGTGGGAAGCAGCGACTGAGGCTCCCTGCAAGCCTTTGTCCTGTGCAACTCATGCCTTCCTGTGCTGGGAGTGTGAGTCTCACAGCCTTCAGCCTGTGAGAGCTGGAGCTGACCTCCAAGGGGAAGGGGAAGCCTGACAGTCAAAGAAGGCCTGTGGGGAGCAGCTAGCACTCACACCTCCAAGCCAGTAAGTGGAGGGCTGTCATCTCTTCTTAACCATCTCTATTTACAAAACACCTCGTTTCTGTTCCCACTTCTTGTTCCCTTTATGACAGGATAGCGCTGCCCTCTACCACCCCGTGTAGATCCAGGGATAGACAGCTTTAGGAGGAGGATGGGGACACCCTGGCAAGTGGCCCAGCTCTAGTGTGTGGTTCTACCTCATCTGAGAGAATGGATTTAGATAAGAACATTCCTCCTTGTCTCATGTTTCCAAACATTAGTATTTAAATAAGGGGAGCAAGTTCTCCTTCCTCTAACATAAAGTACATCTGTCCCCTGCTGTCCTCTTTACAGAGTGGAAGGGTGGTCTGGGCCTGCACAGAGCAGGGGGAGGGCCAACCTGGAAGAGACTCTCATGATGGTCAGCATGAGGTATGGCCAAGCAGCTGCAGGCCACCCAAAGCTTGGCCAGTCGTGAGCTGGGTCTGGCTGGGCCCTTCCTGCCCTGACAGAATCACAGGAGCCTGAAGCCATAGTAGCCAACCATGGATGTGGCAGGGGGTGACACACAGCAGGGACCCAAGGAGGAGTAGGTGTTCCTTCCCAGGAAGAGGAGCCACCATGTGTCCTTAAATCCCAAGAACTTGAGAAAGGCAAGACAATGGCCATTTTTATTACCCAAAACCTGTAGGACAAGATCCTGCAGAACCGCAGGATCTGCTGGTTGCCAAACTAGCAGACAGATGTGACTTCTGAGGTTGCAGCTGCCTGCTGGCTCCACAGCCCAGGTCCCTGAGGGTAGGTGTGCTTCCAGCACTGATACCAGTGTTGAGTCGGGCTGCACAGGCCCGAGCTCCCGGAAGGAGGTGGCAGGGCCCAGGCGCCTGCCCTGAGATGCCGGACCCTGGCTCACTGTGAAGATAGAGAGAGGAGTCCTCTGGGATCATCGCGGCAGGCAGCTGGCCACCGGGTCAGGCCGCAGCCCTGGCACAAAGTTCACGGGGCAGAGCAGCAGCGGGCACATCTTCTCGTGCTCCTTCAGTGCCAGGCTCAGCTGCTGCAGCTCCTCGTTCAGCTTGGCGATCTCCCTGCGCAGCATAGCGTTCTCCTGCTCCAGGGACTCATACTCCTGGGGGGGGGGACAAGAACGGCAGTTTTGGAGCCACTGCCCAGCCTGCCACCAGAGGCTCAGCACACCACTCGTACCACTGCTTCAGGTCCCTCTCCTCCAGGGAAGATGAGCACACAACAGGGCAGGGCTGCACTCTTTTTTTTTTTTTTTTGTATACAGAAGCATCATTTACATAAAATGCATCTATTTTAAGTGTCCCATTCAGTGAGTGTCAACGGATGTGGATACCTGTGCTGATAGCTAGGCATACTGCCTTCACCCCAGAAAGTCCCCTCTGCACCAGTCCCTCCCCCAAACCCAACTGCTGTTCTGTTTTTCTAGAGGCCTGCCACGCTCATGGCTGCAAATTCACCACTCTATGATGAATGTTTGTTGACTGCACAAATAAATGCATGAAAACACGACTTGCCTTTGGCCCAGCACTGACTGATAAGCTTCTTCCACTAGATCAGGAACCAGGCTCAAAAGTGTGTGTGTGTGTGTGTGTGTGTGTGTGTGTGTGTGTGTGTGTCCAGAGTGACTTTTGCCCAAATTACAAAACGTAGAACCTTTCTAATGTAATTCTAGTTCATGCATCCATCAGGGCGCGGTCCTGACTCCTCCAAAGGTCAGTCTTTATCTTTCTGAGCTGCTCTGTTTGAAAGCCAGCATCGACAAAGTGTGATCAAAAGCACCGTGAATGTTTAAAAAATTATTACAGTAAGAGACGCACTGCCAAGAATCCCCTGCAAAGCTTGCCCCTTGCTCTGAGCACGCCCATCCCATCATTCTTGCCACTTTCTGAAGCAGCTCCGTAAGTCCTCTTTTGTGAATGTCTAGCTACCCACCCCACCTGAAATGATTCCAATGTGTCTGCCTTTACCTTGACTGTGGGGAAGAGCCGGGAGTCACACAGTGCCAGATCTCGTGAGTAAGGCGCACGCGGACAGTGGGTGACGCTTTCACGAGCCTGCCTTTCCGCTGGACTGCGCTCGGCAGCAGCGTTTACTACACTCTGCTCTTACCTCATGCAGACACTCAAGAAAAAGGACTTGTAGCACTGCTTCAAGAAAGCGGCAAGGAGGAGGGGGTGTATCTGGAGCAAGGGGGCTGGGCATTGGGAGGAGGCTTAAAAAGCAATGTGTCTTGCATTGAAAGAAATATTTTAAAATCTAGGGCTGGCAAGAAAGCTCAGCAGATTAAGCGCCTGCTTTGGCAAGCACAGGGACCAGGGATTGATCCCCCATCCCATACCAAGCCAGCCCTGCCCCTAGGGTTCATGGAGCCAGCGAACCAGTCCAGGCAAGGGCGTGGGCATGGTGGCACATGCCTGTAATCCCAGAGCTGGGAGGCTGAAAACAGGAGGATCACTATGAGTCCAAGCTGCGTAGTGAGACCCTGTACCAAATACATAAATGAAAAAAAAAAGAAAAAAGAAAAAATTCTAAAATTTAAACACTGTAGAGGCTGGTGAGATGGCTCAGTGGTCTAAAGCACCTCCTTAGAACAAGCTAAGCTAAGCAAAAGCAGAGACCGTGGTTCAATCCCCAGCACCACATGCCAGCCAGCCCCGCCCCCGGTGGGCTGAACTGGCCACACACACACTAAATAAATAAATAAAGTTATAAAAAAATAAAAATAAAATAAAATTACTTTCTTAAAAAAAAAATAAACACTGTATATTTCAGGCTCCTCTTATATGTTCTCGTGACTCCTCATGTCCCTCCATGCCCCTCTAGGGTACTTTCACTCTTTCAGAACCAAGTCGCAGACAGGTTGTATGTGGGGGCCGCCCTTCCTCCACTGCCCCCCATGGCAGGAAGTTCCCAGGGACAGCGGGTCTCACCCTTCCCAACAGGCCTCCCCAGGCCATCTGGCCTCCTTAGTGCCTGAGCCCCATGCTGCCTCTGTCCTCCTCCTCACCTCCCACCCCTCATCCCCATCACGTCCTCTGGCCTGAACAGCGCCAGCCCTACACTGGAAGTCAGCATACGAATCCAGCAGCAAGCCCTCAGTGGGCCAAGCAGAGTCTGGGAGGGAGGTGGGACCAGAGGTCCAGGCTAACGGACAGCGTGCACAAAGCAGAGACTAGAAGGGCAAGTGCACGCATACTTGGACATACACACACACACACACACACACACACACACACACACACCCTCACCAGTGCAAACAGAAAGGCCCTGCCCCTTCAAGGGAAGTGGATCTGAATGGTTTCCACCTGCTAACACCTTACCTGGCACCCAGAGAGTAGAAAGCTTTTCCTAGGACAAGTGGTCCTAACTGCCTGGCCGTGTTTGCCAGCGATGGCAAGACACTCAAGGCCTCTGAACGCTGCCTCCGGGAGCCACAGGAGCCCCGTGGCCTCCTGCTGTCCTGGGACACCACTGCTTTCCCTAAGCTCTGCTTGAGAAGACTCCACCCCTCATCTAGCTGTCCTCTCCACGGGGACTTTCTCTGCTGGGATTTAAGTTTTACTCCCAAATCTGCTTTGGGACTTTCACTGAGCTGAGGGGATAAGGAGAAAAGTTGTAAACATCTTCAGGCAGGACCAGTTCCATAAAAATGAAAAGAAGAGTGGGCAGGGGAGGGAGGAGAGGTCAAAGGTCACCAAATGGGAACAAAACCCATTGCACCCTGAGAAGAAAGTTCTAGAGTCAATAGAAATAAAACAATAAGCAGAGAACACTGAACTTGTGGTGACTTCGAATGTGACTTCAATCTAGCTCAAATCTGGCTGAGTTTTGTGAATCTTCTGCCACAAGATAGGTTTTGGGGTCACAATGCTGCCACCCCCAAACATTTGCCTGATCACAGTGTCAAAGAATAGGCCTAAAAATCTGAGGTGGCAAAATCACTGCCAGTCCCAATCCCACATTGGAAACGAGGTTGCTTAAGACAGTGGTCCTGAATGGGAGAAATTCGGCAGTCCCCAGTGGAGAATACTTGGGGCCATGTGGTGGTGTCTAGGCAGAGTTACGGTTATTGCAGATGGGGTAGCGGCGATGCTGACCCCAGGGATGGCAGCTGGGAGGCTGCTCAGCGTCCTGCAGGGCAGCACCCCACTAGGCCGCAGCCAGCCCTGGGTGCCCAGAGTCCTGAGGCTTGGACATCTTCACACACTGAGCAAGACTGACCGAGGAACAGGAAGCTGCCCAGGTCCCCTGGGGTAGGGGACAGGATTGAGGACTGGTTAGAGAAGCTGAAATGGGTAGCAGTCACCAGAAGTGACATTTCAGATGTGAAAGGAAGGAGAGGCAGGAAAAGGCCACCAGGAGGACACGGAGCTCCTCCTTACAAGTACGGCAGCTCTGAGAGGGACAGCGACAATTCCAAGGTCACAGAGACTTGGGGTCCGACCCGCGATGTCCAAGTCAACTGCAGCACTCAGTAAGTTTGCTCTCGGTCAGCAGCCTCTGGGCCTGAATTTCCTGGAGGTGGGGACCAGAGGGAGGAGGCCATGTGCTCTCAGGACTTCAGCAGTCATCTAACCCCCATCCCCCCTCCATCCCCCAGCTGCTGTAGTTCCCGGCAGAAAAACTGTGTCACCAGCCCATGTCACAATGCCCCTCTAAGCCTGGTGGTACTGACATGAAACACTGTCTGTACACACACAATATCTGAAAAACAAAGTGACAACACCGACCACAGCCGCACTGCCCCAGCCATCTGTCAGTTTGAGACACATGGGGCTCATGAGGACGGCCTCACTGCCTTCCTTTTCTGACTCAAATTCTTTCTCCGACTGACATCTCTGGGTGCCTGACCCACTTCTGGGCCACCTTCCTTCCAGTTGCTCCAGAGATGCTGGTGCTAGAACTCGGTTCCCTTCTGTGCCCACAGATGCAGGACGGCTGGCGCCTGCTGTCCAAAGCTGAGCTGAGGTTGGAGTCCCCGTAAGAGGTGGAGTCCGTGGAAGGGACAATTTGCCTGATTTGTCCGCAGTCCCCCTGCCCTCAACCACGGCCCAAGGGGAGAACGGCTCCTGGGCTGAGTCTTGTGGCTCTCTGCGCTCTGTCCCTCCCTCATGAAACTGCCAAGAAACTCCCAGCGGCAGCTGCAGGAGGCTTTGCAAGGTGCTGGAGGTGATGGGGCTAGGGGATGAATGGGGAGCACCAGTGAAGTGAGCAAAGGAGAAAAGGGGGGTCTTGGTTTGCTCCAAATACCCCCTCAGTGGTATTCAGGAGCTTGAGCTACTTGGGCATGTAGGGATTCCATCCTGTTGTGTAGGGCCAGGGATGGAGGAAGACAGCCCCTTCAGCCCTCTGAACGGGCTCCTCCTCCCTCCAGGGACTGGCAGATAGGCATGGCTACCTAGTGACTGTTCTCCTGGCCTCTCAGTCGCTTCCTATGACACTTAAGCATGAGGAGGTTTCTATCATGGAGTCCTGCTCTCACTTTTCTCATCCTATACTGGTCCAGGAATTTTTGGGGTCACCAGGAGTTTTCTACTTTTTTTTTTTTTTTTTGAGACAGGGTCTCACCACGTAGTTCAGGTTAGCCTTAAACTTACTCTCAGAGCCTTGAACTTGCAGCAACCCTCCTGCCTCAATCTCACTACAGGTGTGCGCCAACACACCCAGCTAGAAGCTTCCTACCGTGATCCATGTCATGCATTCAGCCCACTGGAACATCCGTCACCCCATTTTTGAACCAAGCACCCCACCTCCAGCATGTTCCTCACAGCTGGAATGCCTTCTGGAAACAGGTGGCTAGTGACAGGGAAGACACTGTTCACATGGCACCTTTTGGTCCATGCATGACATCTGTCTCTTTCTACAGTTTGGGCTGATTTCCATTTCCCTATGCCAGCTGCCTACCCCTCACATCTGTGGTGGCCAGTGACCCTTGGGCACAATAAGAGAAGGTGGGGTGAAGGCTACAGCTGGAGGCTGGGATACAGATGGAGCCGCTCTACTGACCTGCCACTGGTGCGGTTCCTGACTAGTCCTCCTTTCCCAAGAGAAAGAGAAGGGAGGGTCCTTCCCTAAAGGGCCTCACAGCCATACTCCCCATTCTGGAAGGGGAAGCCATGGTAATTGTCCAGGAACACAGCCTATGGCTAGAATAGCTCCTGACCCTACAGAAAGGCCCTCCAATCCATGTCTAAGAGACACCGGATGGGAGGAAATGTGGACCTGAATTCCCAGAACCTGGTTCCCTTGGCTACCAAATCCAAAAATGACAGGAAGTGAGAGAACACCGAACTTCATCTGGATGTCCCTTTTGGACAGCACAGGAAAGTTACATGAATATATTCAATGTCTTCTGTGGTGGGCAGAACAGTGGCCCCTCCCCACTGCTACTACCTGGCATCTGTGAATACGTTGTCTTACCTAACAAAAGGGACTTTGCAGTCGTGGTCACAGGGCACCTTATAAATGACTATGGAGTCAGGAGAGTAAAACAGGATGTCATGCCAGTCCCCATCTGAGGAACACAGATGAGAAAGACTCCACTGGCCTCGCTGGTTTGGAAGCTGGAAGGTGACGGTAGACCAAAGAATACCAAAGCCTCCAGAATCTGGAGCTTGTGAGGAAACAGATCCTCTCCAGAGCCTCCAGGAGCTCAGCTCTGCTCCCACTCTGATGTTAGCCCAGGGGATGCATGCCAGATGTCTGCCCACCCAAACTCAAGACAGTAAATCTGTTGATGATGGACATCTGGAACAGCAGCAGCAGAAAACTCAAGACACTTTCCTCAGGAAGCCCTACGCTTCCCAAGGACTGGACTGAGATCTCCCTCTTCTCTCTGTGACCCGAAGGCTACACCTTGCCACAAGAGTGCGTGCTAAATGTAGAATGGGTCTACCTGACCTTGCTCCATGAAAGATCCTGTCCAAGACACTTGGTCACCTCTGCAGACACCATCACCCAGGATGGCTATGAAGCACGAGAAGCTCCCTAGGGGTCTGGCCTTGGCCAGCCAGCCAGCACCCATGGCCTGCATACAGGGCCCTGGTGTAACTGTGAGCTGCAAGTTCCCTTTGGGGCTCTTTAGAAACATGCACCTAGAACCACAATGGCCTCAGGAGCAGAAGGTGAAGAAGAAAGGAGGCCAAGGGCCCTGGCATCTTCTGTGCAAACATTACAGAGCTACTGAAGACTGAGGATGTCTCCATGACTGGTCTGCGGAAGGAATTTATATTCCTCATGTGCACCATGCTGTGAGTTTGTTTCAGTGATCTAGTCATGTCTCCCTGGATTAAGCTCATTCTAAACTCATCCTAATTGCTAGCGAGTCTTTAGAGACACTCTTCTCTCCATATGACAATGAGACTCTGTGCTGTCAACATCCCACACTGGCCCTGCTGAAGCAATCTGTGGCCCGAAAGCAGGAGAAAGCTGAACTAAAATCTTTAACACACAACCCCCCAGAGAGGAGAACTGCTGCTGACTCCTTGGACAAACCTTGAATGCTTTCCAGAGCAACTCCTGATACGGAGCAGTTCTCATGTCCTGGCCATGGGATGACACATAAAGGACAAGGCAAATGGCACCTTGGAAGAGAAACTCCAGCATTAGGGCTTGAATGTATCTCCAGAAGTAGAGGTGTTGGGGACTCAGTTCCCAATCCACCTTTCTTGAGGGATGAGGCCTTTGAGAGGTGACGGTGTGACTAGATTAGCCCATGAAGGGATTACGAGGCTATCACAGGAGCGGCCCTCTAGAAAAGCAAGCTCTCTGGTTTGTGTGCTCTGCCTGGTCACAGGATGCCCTTGGCCACACCACAATGCAGCCAGCAGGCCCTCAAGATTTCCCAGCCCTGAGAATCCTGAGCCGGAGCAATGTAGTGGCCAGTGATAACACAGAGAACACACTCAGACACCAGGCTCCTGCTGCAAGTAACACAAAACGTGGTGGGCGCCAGAAACCTCCAGTGAGAACGGTGGGAGGAGAAAGCCTGGGGACACAGAGCATTCTGCCATCCATGCGGTGCAGTCCATGGAGAGACACCTAAGCCAAGAGTGAAGTGACAGGGTCCAGGATGGAGGCCCTTCCTTCCAGGAATCAGTGCTGGGAGCTGACGCAGGAGAACAGATAAACAGACCCAACATTTAGTCTTCCATCCAGGGTGAGATTAAAAATGGCAGAGTCTGAAATGCTGATCAAGGCCAAAACTGAGAATTAGAAAATTGTGGGGCTGAGCATGTGGCTCAGTAGTGGAGCTCTTGCCTTGCATGCACAAGGCCCTGGGTTCAATCCCCAGCATAACCAAAAAAAATTCTGAAGAGGATGAGGCCAGAAGGAGGGTCCTGGAGAAGGAATGCATGGCACGGGTAGCTCTGGGAAGCAATTTCCTTGGTGCGCGAGCACGTGTGTGTGTGTGTGTGTGTGTGTGTGTGTTGAGTGTGTGGTTGTGCAGGTGTATGTACACATACCCGTGTGCACACATGTTAGGTGGAAGTTGAGGACCGGGAAGGAAGGCACAGAGGACTGGGGAATGACTCAGAACTGAGGGCTCAGAGGACACAGGTGAGAACTGCTCTTTTCAGAAGCAAGGAAGTGAGATGGAAAAGAAAGACAACAGGATTTTGAATGGCGATCAGGATCCAGTCACGGTGCTTTGTTCTGTTCTGCTTTGTAATGAAAGACAGGTTGGGCAAAGTGAAGAGGTGGGAGCAAAGACTCAGACTGCCGGGCAGGAAGGACCCGGAGGATCAGATGTGTGCACGACTGGTGCCACTAGGGAGCACAGCGACATCATCACCCCGGGTGGCTCCTTCCCGTGGCGCTGCCCAACCACAACCTCACCTCGTGGAGCTTGTCAGCCTTTTGGGTCTGCTTCTTCCGACTCCTCTGAGCAGCAACTCGATTCTTCTCTCTCCTGCGGACCTTTCTGTCATCATCTTCAGGGCTCTGGAGGGTGACATTGGGTGATGTTAATTTGGAGGTCCTGTGCCTGATCCTTCCCTGCCCACTCCTCCCTTGGGCATTGCTCTTTGACCTCCAGTAGCTCGTGTGTAGTCAGCGGCAGGGGACCAACCGCAGCCCCCTCATTCAGGGTACCTGCATATCCTTCATCCTGGACCCAGTGATGGGAGCACTGGGCTGGGGGTAGGACTCAGTGGTGGAGCGCCTGTGGCTCAACAGTGAGGCCCTGGGTTCCCTCCCCAGTACCACACATTTAAGAAGTAAGCTGGGCATGGTGGAACATTCCTGATACCCCAGCACCCGGGACACTGGGGCAGGAGGATAACCCCAAGCTCATGGCTGGCCTGAGCTAAACAGTGAGACCCTGTCTCAAAAAGCAAATAAAACATTCAAACATGAGGAATAAGAAACCCAGGCGAAGACCTTGCTCCAGGTACCGTGCTCCTCGGGGGTAGTGGGAAGTGGAACTCAGGTCTGTTGGGTCTCCGCACCAACGTTCACAAACCTCTACCCCACAGGGCGTGTGCCAGGAAGGGCTGTGGTGTTGCCACCGCTCCTCTGAGGCTGGGAACGCGGGGGCGGGGCGGGGCGGGTTTGCTATTTAGAACCTGCGGTGCGCGGCAGGCCCTGACAGCCCTGTTCACAAGCAGGGACTTTAGGATCTGCGTGCAACTCATGATCACACGTTCAGCGCCACTGGCAACCACACGGTGACCCACCAACACAGTGATCTGAAGCAGCACACAGACTGCTTGATTGACATCTCATTTCAGGGGACAGAGTAAGCTGAAATGCAAATGTATGATGTGATCTGAAACTCAGGCTACATAATCCCAGCACTCCAGGAAGCCCAAGCAAGAGGATGACAAGTTCAAGGACAGACCGGGCCCCTTAGTGACTCAGGAAAGCCCTGTCTTAAAAAAAATAATCAAAAAGCACTGGGGGTACAGCTCCCAGAGAAGGCCCTGGGTTCAATCCTCAGTAGAGCAACGAAAAAGAAAGAAAAAAGAAGACTCTGTTATGAATGAAACTTTGCCAAATATATCAAATTCTGCATTTTACAGGTGTAAAAATGAAACAGGTATGCAGGAAAGTGTACTTACCATGGGGGGAAAATAAGCAACTAACTTCATCATTATAGAAAAAATGGAAAACACACCAGTATTTGTTTTCCAGACCCCATGAGAAGATCTCAAAGGAGAACAGGAAATACTACTCTTAAGGAGTAGTACTGAAAAGAAGAAGATGAAAAAGACAAATATGGAAAAGAAGAAGCCAGTGGTACACAAACACCAGGTAGTTGAATATAGATATTAAGAGAAAGCAAATATTGATAACACAAGCTGACTCTTTCAGTTGCCATTTTATGTGGTCTTGTACTTCACATAAGAAAGACACCCATCACTTCCCCATGGTAAGCAGGTAAGAACTTCCTGCCTTGGCAGAAACGCAGGTGTAAAAGGAGAAATAGCACAGCTAATCCAGGGCAGCAGCCTGGAAGCACGACATAGGAACAGGGACAGGCAGGTCCGCGGCAGACAAAGTCTAGGTTTAGACACAAGTCTTGATGAACACATCACTGGGGACATGAGGTGTACAGGTCGGAGCTTTAGAATCTCACAGGTCCTAGTTTTGTCTCTTACGATTGATATGGCTCAGAGTAAAAAGGCTTAACCTCTCTAGTTTCTCAATTTCCTCACTTATATGTGTGACTCATCCACTCTTTCAATGCGTATTAACTGAGCATCTACCATGTGCCATGTTTTCCTAGGGCCTGGGGACATCATCCTGGAGCACCCAGCACTTTTGTGCTGGCAGCCTAAGGCTTAGCCTAATGGCACAGCACGCCTGCCAGCAGTTACCTGTTTCTGTTGTGGCTGCTGCAATTTCTGATTGGATCCCCCATAGTATGTGTCACCAAATCAGCCTCTTAATACTCCACAATTAAAAAGAATCACAAGGCACAAAAGAGCTGCGAACGTCCTGCCCTCGGGGACTGCCACTCTAAACTGCACGTATGTCAGCTATGATCACACGGGCCATGTCAACAGGAACATTTACACAAGGCAACACAAGGGAGCGAAGTCTTGAAGCGTGTGCATATGAGCCTTATTTCAGTCCTCATAAAAATCCAGAGACATCCATATAGTCATCCTACAAATGGAGAAACTGAGGCTCCAAAAAGTTAAACAAATAGACCAAGGTTACTCAGACTGTACGGCCAAGACTCCAGTTCAGATCTGGACTTTTTCCGTCACCAGGCGATAGTAGGTGCCTGACCCGAATGGCGGCGCATACGAACGAACGAAAAGACCCAGTCTGGTCCCGAAGCGGCTGGGCGTGCAGTGTCCCAACGGCCCTCTCTGCGGGCGACCTGGCCTCACCTTCCCATGGGTGAGGCTGTGCACGTAGCTGGGGACAAGGTGGACAACCGGCCGGGTGAGGTGAAGGTTGGTAGCAGCGTTGGGGTTGGCGTTTGCTTTCCTGACCAAGCAGCAGCGAGGGGGCAAGAGCGCACACCAACCCTGCGGCTCGCGAGCAGCTCGGACCCCACGTGCGGGCCCCACCCCACCCGGGCGGACCCAGTCTCACGTCTGGCGCGGGCCGCCCAGTCTCCTCTGTCCCTCTCGGGCTCCGCCCCGCACCCACCTCAGCCTCCCCGCGTCCCGCGCCCTCTACCTGCGGCTGCGGCGGGTTTCCGGGCGCCGCGACGCCTCTCTGCAGGACGCTAACGCCGCCAGCCGCCGGGAGCCCTTGCGACATCCCGGGCGCTGCTCCGGCGCCCCCGCCCGCGCACAGCCTCGCAGGCAGCGGCAGCCGCCGCCCCGGCCCTGCACGCGGGCTCTGCCTAGGGGTGCGCAGTCGGCATCCTGGCGCCCCGCACCTGTCGGCTTGCCCCGCCCCGCCCCCACGCTCCCGCGCTCCCGCTCCGGGGTGTCACCGCCCGGGCCTGCTCCGCCCCGCCCGGCCCCCGCTCGCGGTCCTCCCCGCCCCGCCCCCTGCTGCTCCCCCTCCGCCTCCTTCGCTACCCTCCCCGCCCTCCCGCTACGCCTCGGGGTCCCCATCCCAGCCCTGTCGCCTTTCCGCTGCCGCCCTGCTCTTCGTGGAAATCACGTGGTGGCTCCGGAACCCAGGCGTGAGCGCGAAGCCCACCCACGGGAGGCCACGCTGGGTTCGGGGGGCGCGGCCTTCTAGGTCCCTCGGCCGCACTCGGGAAACTCGGGTTGAGCAACCCTGGAGGGTGGCTTGAGGTCGGTGGCTTCTCCCGGTCTCCTCGCGGCGCCTTCCTGCGATCCTCCACGGGGACTTTCTCAGAGACGACGGTCCTCGGGCGCCGATCCTCCGAGACCCCTGCGCCCCGGGCTTGGCTAAGGGCAGAGTCGAGCATTTTTCCCAGTCGCCGCGGGCCTGGGATCCTGAGCGGAGGGCGCGCTGGGGAGGTGGCCCGGGCAGAGCCAGCGACACCCCACGTTGGCCGTCAGTCGGGACGGACGCGGAATCTGGCATTGCCAGAGTTGCTCGGACCACACCCCTTTCCGAGGTCCAGGCCTTGGGCAGGGTGCTGGATCCTGGGCTGGCGCGTCCGCATCACCTGCGTTCGGGTTCAGATACGCCAGGTATCTCTGAGCCCTGCGAAGAAAAACTAGCGGGTCCGGGTGTGGCCCGCGTGCTGTCAGCCTCTGGAAGGAACAGGAGCCGCGACCCGGGTGGGCGCGTGGGAATAGGGCGGTGAGCGCCCTGCAGCCTGCGGTGGCGGGGTGGGCCGGTGCCGGGGCAGGGCCCGCGCTTGGACCCCGGCGGGCGCGCCTGGATGGAAGACGCTGGGAGAGGAGCCCGCGCTCTCCGACCCCGGGGGAGTGTGTGTGTGTGTGTGTGTGTGCGCGGGGAGGGGGTCGTCCGCCCCCTGTGCGCTCGCGAGAGGACAAGGTTACGCGGCCACCGTGTATGCGCCCTGGGGACAGCGCGGCCGCCTGCCTGGGTCCAGCCTTTCCGTCATCTCCCTCCCGTTTCCCGGTCGGCGCAACCCGAGGTCCTCTGGGTTGCTCCTGTCGCTCCGATGCGGTCCACGCGGAGCCCCAGCACTCGGGTTCGCTTCAGTCTCTCAGGCGGAAACCTTCACATTAAAAAAAATCAAAAACTCAAAATAAGAAAACCTCTGTCACCACTGGGCGTTTAAGCGCATTCGGGCTTCGTTCTGACTATGGACACTTCTGTTCCCCCAGCCACACTGTGTGCTCGTCCCCGGAACAGTCCGTTTCTTTTTTTCTTTTCTTTTTTTTGGCGGAACCGGGAATCAAACTCAGGCCCTTGCGCTTGCCAGGGAAGTGCTTATTCTACCGAGCCATCTCCCCGGCCCTGTCCCCAGTTCTGTCTGTCTCCGCAGACGTAGTCAGCTAATGTCCTTCATGGGTTTCTTCCAATATATTTAAAAGAAGAGGGTTATTAACTAGTTAGCTTTTAGGGAAGAAGTCAATTTGATCTACGTCTACGTCAAAACAAATGAATTAAATAGATACAAAAAAGTCAGGGAGCAAATAGAATCAAGTCCTTGCTAAAGCCCTAGTCAAGGACAGAATTTGCTAAGATTACACATGTTAGGAGAAATGACATTGATAATATCTGAAGGACATAAGTGTATATGGTGCTAAACTGTTCAGAATGGCCAGAAATTTAAAACCGATTAGGAAAATACAGAGTCTATGTGAAAAGGTTGAAATCTGTTATATATAGCCCATGAAAAAGAATAAGAAAATGTGGAGACAGCTCCACCAAAATGCAGACGTGACAAGGAAAAAGTAAAATAGACACAGTAAAATAATATTTTTTTTTAAAACAAGAAGTTTATTTAAACAACAAGACACTTAAAGGGAAAACTATCTAGGATTCTTCTTTTTTTTTTTGTTCCTCGAATGCCTTCAGGGCACTTTTGGCCAGCGGGAGAGGTGTGAGGTTCGAACTCCAGCAACCTGAGGCTGAGAGCTTTGTGGAAGCAGCCACTTAAAGGCTTGAGCTAGGGCCAGGCCCCCTAGGATTCTTCTTTTTTAAAGAGTAACTTACTCCTACTTAAAGACAGATTGCCCTACATGTAACAGCTACTTACAAAAAAGTTATAAAATTGTCCTTGGTTTTACAATGATAAATGAAAAACATTAAAATTCTCCAATCAAACATAGTAGGCAAGGAATTTTATGGTTTTTTTCTTTTGTTTGTTTTTTGGTGGAACCGGGGATTGAACTCAGGCCCTTGTGCTTTTATTCCACTGAGCTATCTCCCCAGCCCCAAGGAATTTTATGTTGCTGTCTTTTCTGTTAAAACAGTAAGAGCAAAATAACCTACTGGAATATAAAGATAAGAGCTGATGAGCTTGCCACTGATGGAGAAAGGGGATTATTTTCACAGAACCAGTAATTCCCCATCTCATCTCCATTTGATGTCAATCAAAACATACTGTTGGCTATTTAGTAAAAAAAAAAAAAAAAAAAGCAATATGCTTGTGCACATACACCAGATACTTTATGTACAATGAAGGAATGGGGAAGGGGTAAAGGAAAGAATAGAGAAAACTATATTGTAGTAGTCAGGATGTGGTGGAACCAAATTGCAGTTTTCTCATTGAGAATGTATTCTTGGTCTGCAAGAACAGAGTTCTGGAGTAGTTGCAGAACCCTGGTCCCTGTGCTTGCCTAAACAGGGCAAGCCTTTTGTCTACCCTTTTTAGTAGACACCTCCTGTGTGCTGCTGGAACACATCAATTGTATCTTCATCCTCCATTGCCAACTGTGCAGGTGTGTGTGTTTAGTAGACACCTCCTGTGTGCTGCTGGAACACATCAATTGTATCTTCATCCTCCATTGCCAACTGTGCAGGTGTGTGTGTTTCATAGATTGGCTGTCCATCAAATCCTGCCTCACTGACAAACCCTGTCGTTCACAATAGGCTTTCATTAGTTTACTAAGTGGTGTATGCCTCTTAATCTTTTTTTAATTTTTTTTTATTTTTATGTATTTTTTTTTTGTGGAACCAGGGACTGAACTCACACCCTTGCGCTTGCCAGGGAAGCGCTTATTTCATTAAGCCATCTGCCCGGCCCAATGCCTCTTAATCTTAAACTGCGCCACAGAACCATCCTGCCCTGCCACCTTCTAATTAATGTGATTGTTGTTCTCAGTCTTGACTCCTTCCTTGTGCTTTTTGTCGGCCATAGCAAATGCCTGAGTCTTCTTAGCTGCTGCTTCACAAAAGAGGTACCAGGTCCACACCAAACGAGCACACAAGCCAAAAATCTTTTTAAATATTAAATGAGCAAAAGGTCATTTAATATTTATTGGAAAGGGGGGCCTGCCCCTTAGCTCAGTTCTTTGGGGCTGGGGAGATGGTTCAGTGGAATAAGGGCTTCCCTGGCAAGTGCAAGGGCCTGAGTTCAATCCCTGGTTCCGCAAAAAAAAAAAAAAAAAGTATTGGAAAGTTGTAAATATTCATTGACATAATTGTAAACTGGTATAGATATATTGGGAAATGATTCTATTGCAACTTTCTAGAATCATAAAAGATTCATCATTTCTGGAGCAACCCACTTGGGTCCCCTTTCTGTCCCTCTCTCGAACACAAGCTTTCTTCCCTTCATAAATATTCTGTTTTTAACCTCAAAAAAAAAAAAAATCATCACTTCTGACTCAGCTTTCCCACTTGTAGAAGAAAGTCATTCCAGGAGGATCCCTGAATATATTCAGAGAAAAATACTATATTCACTAAAGCTCATAACATTTTTTTATGAGCATAATATATTTATTGAGGGGAAAGAAAGCTCCTGTCTGAGAGAGGGACAGGAAGGGGGCTCGAGGAGGTAGTCCCCTGGGGAAATTGTCTCTTCCAGGGACTTTTATAGTATAAAACCATGTGGGGTTAAGGTGGAGAAAATGGGAACTTGCTTAGGTGGCCATAAGGTGGGACAAAACTATGGTCAACCAATGAGTAAAAGCTCATAACATTTTAAGAGTAAAAAAAATACAAGCAACATTTTTGTCCCATTATACTTGAATGGCTTAGCAAACGTCATTGCCATAGAATAAATCATACATCCCTAAAATTATAAGCACCAGACAGCTTGTTCACATGGAAGACTTATTTGATAGGAGGCAAATGAGGAAAAAGGAGGATATACAAGTACATGCACATAAAATCCATGCATATGAAAAAAATTGGAAGAAAACACCAAAGTAACTAAGCGCCTGTTTAGGCAAGCACAGGGACCAGGGTTCAATCCCCAACACCACCTACCACACTCACACTGCCCCTGGGCACACTGAGCCAGCCACAGAGACTGGGTGTGGTGATGCACACCTGTAATCCCAGCCTTGGGGTGGCTAACACAGGAGGATCACTACAAGTCTGAGCTGTGTAGTGAGACCCTGTACCAAAAATGAGAGAGAGACAGAGACAGAGAGAGGGAGAAAGAAAAAAAACACCAAAGTGGTAGCTTTTCTTTAGTGATGATGGAATGATAATTTCTTTTGGCTATCTTTTTAAACATTTTGCAAAGCTATTTGATATTAGCATCCTCCAACATTTCATATTTCTACGTAAGATATTTGTATAGATTGCTATTAAAACTCACTGACCACACCAGTGCCAGCACTTCTCTGACCAAGAGGGATGAGCCACTAACCACCAGGTTCCTTTCTTTGTGTAGTGTTTTCAGGTTCTTTTTATTCTCCTTGAGTCAGAAGGAGAAAAAATAAAATAAAAATGAAGAAAAGATCAGCACCAGCATTTCAATGTCTCCCTTTCCTTCCTGTCTTGTCTTTTTAGTCGCATTTCCCCCTGCCCCCTTGAACTGGGAAGAGAGATGACAAGATTTG